ACCCCGATATCTCAGATGGGCCTGGGGGTGGGCGGCTGTTCAGGGAAGGCTGCAGAAAGAGGACCTTGGCAGGTCCCAGCAGCGGCGGGCCTGGCAATGGCTGTTTTGCTTGGGTTGTGCTTGGAGTCTATCTGGGAGGGCACAGCCTTCTCCACTGAGGGTTCTGTCTCGGGGAGGGGACCCGGGGGTCAGACCAGGACCAGCCCCGAGCGTCTGCCCCAGAGCCCGAGAGCTACAGAGGTCTTTCGTTCTTTTGCGAATGTCGTTTTAGCCTATTACTTCTGGTCTAAAAATAAGATCCCACCTGGTCGTATTCTCATCTTCAGATTATGAGGTAATTTCCAGGAAACAATAGATCGTCACTGGTGTGCCCTCAAACTGCCTGATGTACTGTTCTTAAGCCAGGATTTGTGAAAATTCAGCCTAGGAGGCTTCCCACAGTGTGGAAGTAAGTATTTCACTGTCCAGAACCGTTATCCCAGAGGAGTCACTACAAGGGATCCTGGGTGTGTGTGCATGTGTGGGGGGTGCCTTTTACTTTTATTTGATTTTGCTTTTAGTATCATTTGTAGACTTTTGATTCTGAAAAATGGTTTGAAATTGTACAGCTTGAGGGGGCGGGCGCCCAAGGCACTGGAGAAACAAAGTCTGAGGTGGCTGTGGTAATATTCAGCTTTTGCCTTCCGAAGTTGCCAACGGTGTTCTAGGCTGCAAGGGGTCCTGGATCAGGGGGATTCTGCATCCCCATGCCTCGAGAGGTCTGCACACTGCACCTGTCCCCTGACTGGGCACAGCTGAGGAAGTCATACAAGAACCCTTCTGTGGAGTGTGGTGGGCACATTGTTCTCTGAGGGTGAAGTAGGGGAGTCTGCAAACGCAGAAGGATTTGCAAATACACAGCCTAAGAATAACACATCATGAAAAAATGGCTGGGGTTCATTCAGAGGTAGCCAGAGCTATGTTGCTTGATGAGGAGGGGATCAGGGCAAAGTTGTCTGGGAACCGCCATTCAGCTACCCCTCGGTGAACTCTCCATAGAAGCAAATATACGCAGGAAGACATTCCGCAGATTTACTGCTGTTCAACTTCACAACTTGTGCCGCTATGCTGGATAAGAAGCCCTTTTAAAATGTGCTGTTGCTTTACTGTATTTTGTCTTCCCTCCCGAAGCACACATAAGTAGCCTGGCAGTTTGCAGTTCTGTGGACACATGGATTATAGATCATTTTCTGTATTTTTAAAATTTTAACTCTTTGATTGCCAAGGAGTTGAGCCCTGTGTCAGTGCCACACGCTATCAGCCTGTGACTTATGAACATATTCTTACATAATTCAGTAGTTTTGCTGTGGGGCAACTGTTCATATCGTGCCTGCTCAGAGCGTTCTATTTTTAAAGCCTAAAATACCATTCTCAGGAGTTACTTGCATGCTCCTGCCTCCCCTGGAGTCACACGCAGGGTGCCTTAGAGTTAAGGCCACGCAGGCACACGGAGCGTGGGTGTACAAGGGCCGGGTCCTCCTGACTGGGGCCTCCTGGGACCCCAGGAATTGTGGGAAGCGGTTCTTCTTGGGTCCTGAAATGCATGAGCTGGAGCTCATGGCACTGAGCCCTGTGGTGCTATTTTTAGCTCCCCTCTCTTCATGCATCTTGACATCATTTGACAGGTCACAGCTGAGCCGAATCTGTGTGCAGAGGTTACTGTGTGCTGTAATCTGTGCTTTGTGGGACAGAAATAGGCCCTGCCTGAGTGCATCACTGTTATTCAGGGCAAAGTTGCAATGTTATGGATTAGCCTTTAAAAGACACCAAACAAAGCCCGTGCCCCTCATTTCCCCCTCCCTGTTGATTTCTGTCGGGGTGAGCACCTGGAGGGGCGTGCTGTTCATTCTGCTTCAAGGCTGGAGTCCGGGGAACAGTGGGCTGCAGTGTGGAAAACCTGGGTCAGAGTGCGCCCACTTGTGGGGTCTCTGAGTCCCAGACCTGGGGTGGGGAAGGAGGGATTGTGCTTTCTCCGCAGGTCTCGGGGAGATTCAGGTGCTACGCTAGGACCGTGCCTGGTAGCACAGACCTCATACTGCATGGGGCGGACGATGCCTCAGTCTAGAAAGCCAGTTTCAGACAAAGATGAAGTTGCCTGGAAGAGAAATTGAAGTGTGAACAAACAGGGACTACGTGCTGGAAGACTGAGGGAACCCCTGACAGTGTTAGATGTGACGACGTTACTCTGGGAAGGGGAAGAACCAGGTGTCTAGGGGTTAAGTGCATGGCAGAGACTAGTGGCGCTGAGGTGCTTGACAGGACACGGGGTGTGAGAGAAGAGCGTGAGACCATCTGAGGAAGCCGTAGAACAAGATGACCAGTGGCTGGGGCTTTGGACTCCACGCTGTCCTTAGTACTTTTCTTCCTGTTCAAATATCACGTGAGCAGGGGCTGGGGATGTAGCTCAGTGGTGCCAATTTCTGCTTCACAAGCACAAGGTCCTGAGTTCGATCCTCAGTATCAAAGAAACCATATGAGTGCATTAAATGCAGTCATAGACCTTAGGGGCAGGGAATGTGGCAAGGTGGTAGAGCACTTGCCCGGCATGTGTGAGGGTTTCCATTCCGTTCCTTAGAGTTAGACGCTGAGGCTTGTTTGTGTGTGCATAACCATGGGCAAAACAGACCACGGCCAAGTGGCTCAGAGCGTGTGGGCGTCTGTGTGGATGTCGGCACGTGTACACTCATGCTCTGCACACAGGTTCAGGGAGTGCCCTTCCCTCCCCTCCCTCTCCTCCCCTCCTTCTGGCTTCAACTTGTTTTTTCCTCCTTTTTTCTCCCTTTCCCTTTCCTTCTCTCTTCCCTCTGTCTTCTTTTCTTCTTGCTGTCTTCCCCCTTTTTTGTCTCCCTGCCTCTAGCTACCTCCTGGCCACCTCCCCAAGCTGTGTCCCGGAGGAGTCCATCTGGGGAAGTTACCGCAGCTTCTCAGACAGAAGTTGAATCCTTGCAAGTTATCAGTTTATCCAGGTTTGGGGGCCTTGGCCTGGCCTATAAATAAAGGGTTACCGGGGGCAGAATCTCCCTCATTGATTTCTGTATTTTCTAAGACTGCTTTCTAACAGACTTGAGGCATCGAGGCAGAAAACCACAGGTTTATAGGCTGAGAATGTCTACGCTCTGGCCTACTACAGGGAAAATTTACCGTCCCGATGCTCTCTGGTTTGCTATTGTAGTAGTCATACTGTTCATTATACTGTTTTCCCCCTATCTTCCTTACATTCACAGAATTGGTAGAATACTTTGAGAACCATAGTAGTGACCATCCGGGGGTCTCTGTAGGAATGTCACAGGGCTCCGGCCCAGATTCAGAGCCACTAATATTCACCTTAACAACGCGACAGGCTTGTGGATAGGATGGATGATGCAGATTCATGAACTGTTAACACTGTGGCCGGCCTCCTCTGAGGCAAGCAGAGCCCCTGGCAGTAGAGCTCCCGAGAGCCCACCCCCAGGGAAGTGTGATGCCGATCTGCTCCAAGAACTCAGCTCCTTCTTACAAAGCTCACAGCCCAGGCCTTGCACAGGTACACTCGGGTCGGAACCCAGCCTCTTAATTCGGCCCAAAGGGTGTGCACACCCTTCTGGCTGGGGGATAGGGAGGGTGTGATCATAGCTGACCTGATCCCAGCCCCCTGAGCTCATACTCTATGGGCGAGATGGGCAAGGAGGTGACTGGCAGGCAGTAAACTGTCCCCATCACCTACGTGCTGGTGATAAGCACCACGGAAATGAACATGAAAGTAGGACAGGGCGAGGAGAGCTACTGGAAGAGTGGAGGCAGACAGGTGAGTATTAAATGGAGTGTCAGGGTGGGCGTCACTAAGGAGGCGACGTTTGCACTAAGACTTGAAGGCAGTGAGGAAATGCGCCAGGTGGGTATCTGGGTGAAGAGGCTGCAGGACACTGGGGATCTCCAGGGCCAAGACTCCCAAGTGAGAGCCCAGCGGGTTCCGGAAACAGCAAGGAGCACGCGGTGGCTGGAGTTGCACGCAGTCTCAGGGAGGAGCAGGAGAGAGAGGCGGGGGCTTCTGCTCTGAGTGATGGAGCCATTGGAGGGTCTGAAGCTGGGAGCGTCAGGACCCATCACTGTAGAGGTCTCAGCTGCGGTCCGGGCACCGGGGTGTGGTGCAGAGGCCCGGGGGAGACCGAAGCGGAACTGTGGCCGTGTTAGGCTTCAGATGTGTGTGAGACATCCGCGGGGGGTGCACACGATGGCCCCTGGCCACGCTGACCGGGGGCTAGGAGAGAGGGCTGGGCCGACGCAGGCCCTTTGGGAGGCCATGGCCATGCACAGCTGAAAACAAGCAACTGTGCCTTTTCCCAAAAGTACTCATTTGTCTGCCACTTGGAGACCAATTTACTGAATATTTTATTTCAATCTAAGTCCTTTTTTTAACCTAAAAGTCTCATTTTAAAAGAACTCTTATGTTGCAACTTTAAGTGGAAATTCAGTATCACTTGCCTTTGATAAAAAGTAATATGAAGTAAAATAGTGAATACAAAGCAACACTTGGCGGACATGATCTCCTTCCAACAGGTCTGAGTCAGAGGAGCCTCTGTTTCAGGCCCGCAGACAGATATCACCCTGTCACAGTCACAGCAGCACGTCACTGTCCTCCTGATGTTCTTGGGAGGTTAGAGAAAACTGGAGAGAGACTGACTTCTGTTATGTTGTTCTGGGCCCGAGGATTCCCAGGTCCCCTCATGACCCTGTTTCCCTGCCCGGCCCTCGAGGAGATGCGCAGTGAAAGCAGCTGGTTAAATGGAGGCTGTGTCAGCCGAGGGAGGTGTGGTCTGGCCTGCCTGCTACCAGGTCCCGGGCTCACTGAGGACCCTGCGTCTCTCAGAGGACACTGGCAAGCTGGAATTTGCAAGAAGAGTGATGGCTGTTTATTTGGCTTGGGCACAACAGCCTTGGAAAGGGAATTTGCTCCCTGTAGTTCCAGAGCACGGCCCTGGGAAGGGTGAGGCAGAGAGGTATGTGCTGAGTATGAGCTTCCTCTCAGAAATCTCACCGGTGCTCAGCATTTTCTAACTCAGTAATCTCTGTCTTCGGGGGAGTTTCTTTTTCCTGTTTGTTTATTTTAGGTTGCAGACTTTCGTCAGGGCCTAGTGAGCCAGAACTGACCTTTGCCACTGCAGAATGAGGCAGCAGGCACTGCGTGTGTGGCCCTGTGTGTCCTGAGCAGGTCGGGCTCCAGAATGTCCCACCGAGTGCTGGCCTTTGTCCTGAGGAGACTTTGTGCAATCTCCTCTCGGACGAGAAAGGTGGTCTGCACTTATGTCTGGAAGTGGGGCACTCTCTGTTATCTGGGGTCCAGTCTTGGCTGCTGGCGAGGGAAGGAGTTTGCTGTCCTGAGAAATGTGCAGAGTTGGGCTGCTGCCCACATGGGAAGTGGCATCGGGTCTCTGTGGTCCTTCCTACTGTGTGGGACGTTGTGTCTTCCTGGAGCTCTCCCGCAGGCTCCTGGAGCCCCTCACGCCTCCCCTGGGCGGGGGGCCCTGGAGAATAGGTTCTGCTGTCCCGGGGCACCACCACGGCCAGTGCTGTGTGGCATGGGGGGGCACTCGGGAAGTGCTGGATGAGAGGATAGGAGGAGAGAAAGCATCTGCCAACTGTGCAGCCCCCGGTCACGGAGTGGGTGTCTTGGCTATGAAGTTCAGTCCCTACCGGAACTTACAGAGTTACGTGGCCCCTCTGCCAAGCATGCCCGTTCCTGGCCCTCCAAACCCCGACCGTGCTGCCAGGCCCCTGCTTCGTGTAAGCTTCTCTCCCAGTCTGCCTCCCTTCCCGATCTCAGAGTGGCCTCACCAAGCCACTCTCGTGGACCCTCAGCACCTGTGCCGGCCTCTTGAAGGACTCTCTGATCCTGCCCTTGCTTCGCTGCGGTTGCTTTCTGCCCAGTAGCTGGGGAGGCCCCACGTGCCTATCAGACCTTGTGCTGTCCTTGCTCCCATTGCCCTTGGTGCAAACCCCAAAGCCCCAGTGTGGCTCCCAAGGCCTGCCTCCCTTGCCGTCCCTTCCTGGGCGCAGTTCTGCCTAGCCTGGTGGTCGTGGCGTGGATTCAGGATCCTCAGCTCTCTGGGTGTGAGCCCTGGAGCCACTGCCCGTGGGCTCCCTGACTCTGTCCTGTGCTTTCTCGTCTGTAAAGTGGCAGTGAGATGATGAAGTCCCATTCCGTGGAACGGTGTGCTAGAGTGGAGGTGTTGGTGCTGACACAGGCCCCACATGGGTGCTTCCTCTCCTCTCACCTTCTCTCCCTGCTGCTGGCCGCGCCCCATCCCCTCTGGGCTTTTCTTCTGTTCCTTGAGCTTGTCAGACTCTTGCCACCTCAGGTCCATGGCCCTTGCCGCTTCCTCTCTCAGGACATTTGTCCCCAGCTCATTTCCTGGTCAGCCCATTGGGTCTGGGGCTGGAGGTCACCTTCCCTGGGGACCCTATCTAAAGTGGCTTCCACACCCTACATCCCCTGTCACGGTCAGCTGTGCTTTTGTTTATTGGTGTGTGTGTTTTCCCCAGCCAGGACTGTCCCTACCCAAGAGTGGCCCCCTTGCCCTTTGTCACCTACACCCCAAGGCCCTCAGTGAATGTGGGCCGGCTAGAGCGGCACAGGTGCTCAGCCAACAGGGGCCGTGGGCCGTGGGCTGTGTTCTGCCCCTAGCTTTGCCTGGGCGAGTGTTTCTCTTCACATCCATGCAGTGCCAACACCAACAGCAGGAATTTCTCCTCATACCGGTTGGCAGGTGCCCTCTGCAAGGTGTCTGTTCCATTCCCGAATGACAGTGAGAGGGAGGAAGAGCAGTCAAGATCGTGGACCTGGTGCCTGGCAGTGCTGCCCCGAAGTGAGCCTGGCACTACTATCTATTAGCCGGGTGACTTTGACCAGCTTTGTCTGAGTCCTTACTTAGCACCTCAGTCTCCTCATCTGTAAAAGTCAAAATAGATGATAGTAACTCTCTTTAGGATTGTAGGGAAGATTGAAGGAGGTGGTCACACTGAAAATTCTCAGACAGTGCCAATACCTGTGTGGTGGTAATTTCTCCGTAAATGTGAGCTGCTTGGTGGCGGTGGTGATGGTGGTGATTGTGATGGTGGTGGTGATCGTGGTGAGGATACCAGTGGCAGCGGTGTGGATGGTGATGGTGATGGTCGTGGCGGCAAGGACAAGAGCCGTGACAATCACTGCGGTGTGGTGACAGCGTTGGTGACGTGGGTGCTGACGAGGACAATGTGGTTGCCTTGCAGTAGATATCAACATATGCGATAGAGTAGAACTCGACAAGATACTAGAAGGTTGACAAAAGTGAAGCTAGGGCGTAGGAGGCGTTCACCAGGGAGTGGGTATAAGATGAACGAGGCAGCCCTGGAAATGTTCTTCAGCTGTGCCGAAGCTGGTGGAAAGATCGCTATTTCTTAATATGGACAGTGGCCCCCGGGGGTTCTAGACGTGATTTTGGACCAGCGCTTCTCACCGGCTCTGTGGCATAGCCCATTTTAAGATTTCTAATTTGTAACACCCTGATACTTTAATTAATGTGGAGAAAAATATGGTCATATCTCACCCTAAAAGGAAGAAAGGGTATAGACAGGTAACCGGGGCAGATACTTACCTTGTTGTCCTTAGCCAGAAGCGCCTCCCAGATGGACCGCAGTACAAGGGCTCCAGTAAGTAACACCGTCAGATGTAACTCAGGGCTTTGAACATCCTGGAATCCCAGGGTCAGATGGCTGTACCCGGTGCATTCTCTTTTAGTCTTCTGGTTGTACATATCGAGGAGAAAGTGTTTGTTTGTTTTGTTTTGTTGGTGGCTGATGTGTCTTTGACATTGAACCCTGGCTGATTTCCCTTTTCTAGCAAGCAGAGAACAGTTTCCGGCATGGAGCCCTGGAAGGGCACAGTTTCTTGCTAGAATGAATTAGTTACATTGAATTGTGTCCATTGCATTTATCTTGTGGCTATTTTAACATTTCTGGTGAAATGGATGCCGATTTTCCAGTTAGAGTCAAGATGTGAAGTTTCTTTAAAGAGTAAATGTGTTTAGGTGCCCAAAGTAAGTTGCCTTAAAATATCAATGATTATGCAGCTGAGGGTACCTGGGAGTGGTACGGGAAGGATTCTGAACAAATTTGAAGGGAGCCTTGGAGGAAGGCAGGGCCCAGGAGTGGGAATGGAGGAGCTGAAGTTTGGGGCTATGCAGGCTCCTCCCTTTTGTCTCGTGGAGGACAAAATTCAGAGCCCTGCCCCCTCATGCCACGCATGTGCTGTTTGAAAACCCACAGAAAGACACCGTTTTTAGTGCCAGACAAGCATGGTTGGCTTTACTTGTAGGATCCTGAGAATATGGTGAATGATCATATTTCTCTTTTTACTGATATCGCTAGGAAGTCCAGCCTCCAATTTCAAATCCAACCTCCTATGCCTGCACAGAATCCTATAGTCTGTATATATTCTGTGTTTAAGACTCAGGGGTCCAAGAATTTTTTTCCTGTCATTTGTTTTCTCCCTCGCCTTGCCTTGATTTTACTTTTTGATTTACCTGCCATATGTATTATAAACCATGGTAGCAGATAGAAGTTACCTTACCCTCTTTGTTGGAATATAGTGAGGGTACTGAATAAATAAATCATGATGAAACTGTTTCCTTAAACTGCAAGGTTAGGGCAACTCTTACTGGGGATAGTTTAACCTGATCAGGACACAGAGGCAAGCAGGAATTGCAGGAAGCGAGCTTTGTTCCCGAGCCTTGGGCTGGGTGATGTCACGGCTGTTCTGAACACTAATTTCTATTATTTGGTGGTGCTCATATCTCAGGCCTCTATTTAAGATACAACATAGACCTCTCCAAGGCACACATTTGCATGCTGCGTGGGCCGAGGTGCCTGGCTTCGCTCTCTCTATACCCACGCCATCTCATGGGTATTTTTAAATGCATGTTGTAGGAGCCAAGTTCTCTGTTGTGTGCGAGCTTATCAGGCTTATCGTGGTGCTGAGAGTTGCAGTGTGGTTCAGTAAGAGCCAGGGCCAAGGCCAGCGCACAGGAACTCACCTGGGGGAACTGCTCAGAGGGCGCGGCTCCTCAGCAGGGCAGAGCCCAGCTCCCAAAGACAGAATAGCCAGAAGCTCGAGGTAGACCTTAGGGCAGGACTGGAGGGTCCGTCGGAGGCCAAGTGAGGAGAGTCACGCAGCCGGGGGAAGACAGTTTTGAAGATCCTAGAGGGGAACATTGGCAGCCAGGCCTGGGGACTTCTTGAGTCTGCTATTTTATGAGGGTTGTTAGGGTCTTCACGGGGGTCCCCAGGGCTCTGCTTGGAGTTGAGGGGCACGCTGAGCCCCCCTTCTCTCTCCTGTCTGATTTGTTCAGCTGTTCCGGCGCTGTGTAGATGAGTTTGGATTCCAAACTTAGCAGCTGAAACAGATCTGAACCCCCATGAGGGCCCTACTCTTCATTTGACAGGAAGGGAAATTGAGGCCCAGACGGAGACCCCGAGCTGCAAGCCCTGGTCCTGTTGCTGGCAGAGATGGTGGGGCACTCTGCCTGGCCGGAAACCTGAGAATAAACCCTCTCTGCCGTCCTCCTCTGTCCCCACCCCTGCAGACTCAAACCCATCTGCTTCTCTTTGCCTCAGCCCCTGATGCCAAGCACAGACCCTCCCGTCCCCCGGAAGAAAGCAGCTGCATCCTGACCCTCCCCACTTCCTCTCTTAGGCCTGCTAATTGGGCTTCTGCTGGGTAATTGGAGTGATTCTTTTAAGCCTCAAATCTCATTTATGCCAGTAGCTCCCCCCACCCCCAATTCCCATCTTGCTTAAAATTTCTCTCTGGTCCCCCAGGGCTTGTATTAAAAAACAAAAACAACAAACAACTAAAATAAACTAAACACTGAAAATAAAAATAAAATACCAACCTCCTCTCCAGGCCAGTGGGACTCACCTGCACTGGCTCTGCCCCGACCCTTAGGCCTCATGATGGCTTGAG